CACTCTCTCCCTATTTATTTCAAAACCCCCTTCCCCTCCCCCTTTTCTGATGAAGGGTCTAGGCCCGAAACGTCAGCCTCTCTGCTCCTATGATGCTGCTTGGCCTGCTGTGTTCATCCAGCCCTGCACCTTGTTGTCACTGTTTTTCCTATCTTTTTTGCCGTGCTGGAAAAACTGCTTTTGCAGAATGACTTAACCTGGTTCAAATGATATGCGTAGAATTTTTGACAATGCTGACTTAGAATAGCTGTTGTGGGAAAAGATGAATTGTGCTGACACATTGCTTACTTAATGGCATTGCTGCCCCTGAAAGTTTGCTGTCTGTCACAACCCTCTGCAGCAGTGTAACGGTTCCAAGCTTGTCCTGCTGTTTGACTACTTGCACCTCTATTGCTTTTAAAATGTGTGTGACATGTTTTTGCATTTCACAAAACTTCATTGTGAATTTCTCGATTGGACCTTCGTTGAAAACCTAAATTCGGTCAGTGAACAGCATGATGTGCTAGTATTGGCTATCTGTTAGCTTCTGTTGTAATCCTTAGACTCCTGAAACTTTTCTTCTGTCGCAATCAATGATTAGACACCTCATGAAGCAGACATTGTTCTTTTTGTTTGCATGGTTTTCCCTTCTTTTCTCGTATTGGTATCAGTTTTGACTTAGTGATAGCATTCTGATTGTTAAATCAGAAGACCATGATTATAGACACACTTTGTAACTTGAATATACAGTCAGGTTGACACTTAAGTGCTACTTTCACAGAAAATCTGTCTTCCAGAGGAAGAGTTAAACCAATTCTCTGTTTTCCCTCTCTGATGAACACAACTATCAGACACACTTTGAAAAAGAACAGACAAGGTTCTTCTAGTGTTTTTGCTAACATTTAATTCTCAATCAATATTACTAAAAATAATTTTGTTGATGTTATTGCTGTTTATGGGATTTTGTTATATGAAACAGTTGCCTCCTTTCCCTAAATTATAATTGTGACTTCTCTGCCAAAGTTCATAGTTGTTTATGAAGTAAATTGGAAGTTGTTATGTGAAATCAAAGGCTTCAAAGTTTGGCTCTGTAGTTTCAGTAAAACTCATCCTGTTTTGTACCAAAATGGCCTCCCTCCATGCTGCGCACATATTCTTCTGACAAGTCCTATGCTACTTTGGTAAGAACTTTATGGCAAGATTTAAGGGTGTTTACTGTAAGTACAGTGAGTAGATCAGTCATTGTGTAACAGTCATTTTTGACCTTGATGCTCCATCTGATAACCTCACTTTAACATGCAGAGCTGAAAATGCATTCAGCACAGGAAGATTCCGTCAAAGGTCTTGGCTCTGACTTCAGGTGGCTGGTCATATTACTTGCTTCTAACCATGGATGCCTTGGCCCATCCCTCATGATATATGGAATAAGAGGAAAACTGAGCAAAGTTTGGACAAAAGAGGACAAACTACTTGAAGAGGAAGGAGGAGCAAATGAAAGGCTTTCAGTTGGAGGCCTTTCAATGTATGATCTTCTGAAAGGGGGAAGTAAAATAATGACAATTCCAGTAGTGCTGGGTTGTGAGGGGAATGGAAGGTATTATTGCAGTGGAACTTGCATTAGAGGAGCTGTGAGTGCAACAAAGTAGTCAGTTTGATTTGCTCAAGAGAGTGTTTCCAGGGCATGGCTGGATAGGCAGAGGGCAAAGAGGTTTTTTTTTGTATCTTTTCATGGGACAAGTGAGCACAGTGGAAGATGATGTTTTTGAGAGAACATGAGATATTTGGACACCATTCAGACTGCTGCATTCTGACCTGGCACTTAGAAATATCGAGCTCTCCCTGGTGAATCTTCTGGAGGTTGTCCAGTCAGAATGTTTATGAGACCAACAACCCCTCAATATAGACCAAAAAGTCATCAATAATATTGGTGTACTGGTGCTGTTCAAAGTACTTGCTGCCACAGGACTGGGTTACTGGGGACATACACTGGCTAGTGACCAAGGCAGAACAATAAAATCTGTGTACATTCTTCATCACACAATTGAGCCTCATGAAATTCCTGCAGTTTCCTCTCTTTGACTGGCAACTATTCAGTGCCTAAGGCCACGAAGGACTCAACTTCTTGGAAAAAACGTTTCATCTTTCTGCCGCCTTGATTGAGGTTAAACAAAAGTCTGATATTTCTCTTGCAGTATTCTAGCTGTGTCATTAGCATCAGTTACAGTTGGAACTGCTGAATTCTATGCAATTATATGATTTCCTTTGTGATAAGTAAAGTTAACCATGGCTTGAGGTCAGGTTTAATCTTAAGTGAAAGGTGTCAGACAAAGTCTGAGAATTTTGTGCACAAGTTGTTGCAAACGATTCAATTTCACTGACGGCATAATGGTTTGTAAGAGCACTGCTGTGCCCTTGCTCAGCCTGTCTAGGACCTTCTGCATTTCAGAATGCTGTTGAACAGGATTAACAGAATTCATTATTCATCTGAGTTTTTGTCTCTGAGGTGCTCTCCAGGCGTGAGATTACTCTGAGGCATGTTTGAAGGCAGTGGAGCCTTTAATGAGGCAGGAGCGTGCCTCCTTCCTGATGCTCCCTGATGAAACTCCGGATTGTTTGAGTGATGGATGCCTCTCCAGGTAAGTATGTAGCTACCTTGTAATCCTCCAAGAGAGCAATGTCACACACTTCCCACTGGTTTTCCATCTGTTGGTTGAAGCTCTTGCCATACATGTTAAATTCCACCCTTTATGGCACTGTATTGTGCTCACTTGGCTATTGCCATCAAGTCAGGGGATTAACCTCACTTCAGTGAAGAGTACAGCATGACAGGTCAACATCAGTATCAAGTTTATCTAAAAATGAGGAGTCAACATGGTGAAGCTATAAGACAGAACTGTGTAGATGCTGAACATGGAAGGCCCATGCTATATACAGAGGTAAACAATCCCACAACCAATGGATCAGATCAAAGTTCTATAGCCCTGCCACACCCATTTGAACCACTTGAAGGCACTCCAACCATCACCCTAAACATCAACTCTCGCACCACAGATGCACAGCAGGAGCAATGTGTACCATCCACAAGATGCACTGCAAAAACTCAATTGGGTTCTTTCGATAGCTCATTCCAAACCAGTGACCTCTACCACTTAGAATGACAAGGGCAGCAGACTCATGGGCCCCACCACTTGCAAGTTCTCTCCAAGCCACGCCTGACTTGGAAGTGTATCATTCTTTTTTTACTGTCACTGGGTCAAAATCCTGGAATTCCCGTTGTAAGTACATTGTGAGGTACCTATCCCATATGTTCCACTGTATTTCAGAAAGGTGGCTCCTCTCAAAAGGCAGTTATGAATGGGCAATAAATGCTGACCTTGCCTGTGATGCTCACAATCTACAAATGCAGAAATACTATGAACCGAAGAATCAAATATGCATGAAAAGCCAGCAAATTATCAGTAAAATCCAGAAATTGGATCATGTATTTTTGTAAGTTCTTTTAGCTGCCAACTTGTTACCTCTACTAAGTTTAATACTAGAAACAATTTGTAATTTGTCCATTTACAAGATTTGTACTATGACACAAACCGTAGAAATTACAAAGATTGCTGTTAAATTGATACACTTGTCAAAATCAGCAAATTTTAGAAGGGGGATGCTGGAGTGGGGGCAAGTTTGGGCCCAGTACAAGACTCGGCAGCTGCATCGGTGAAGTGGGCCTAGAACAGACTCTTGGCGGCGGAGGCAGAGTCAAGTTTGGGCCGGCTGAGGCTGCATTGGCGAGGTCCAGTGAAGACTCATGGTGGCGGCAACATCAGTGGAGTTGAGATGGCACTGGAGAGTAGTGACTCTTGTGCTAGTGGCATGGTGAGGGGACTCATGGCTGGTTGCTCCAGGCCCATAGCTGAGCACTTAACAAGAAGGGCTGTAAAGTTGAACTTTATTTCTTTATTTTTCTGCCTTTATGTTCATATTTTGGTTTATTTTTCTTTGTTTTAAGATGGCACCAGAGAGCAGCGACACTATACAATATTTTTCAGTGTATTTTGTAACAAAAAAACGTGACAATAACTAAACAAATCAAATCTGTTCATATAAATCTCTAACTTAACCAATGAATGGGTACAGCTGCTAGCTCAATCTAAAAGTCACCTTTGCAAAATAACACGCTCAATTCCATGATATGTTACAGTGGAGAAACAATTTTATTTTAATGAGAAGTGAAGGCAATTTTGTAACTTTAACCTGGAATGTATAAGACTCTGATTTATTTTGCTGATATTTTGTATATAGAGCTGTGGGCTTAAAGGATCAGGTGAAGTTAACAGCTAAGTTTTAAAATTGAACTTCTCGATGTCAGAATATCTTTGAGAAACTGTGGAAAATCCATTGCTATTGAATCATAAAATTACTTATTAAACAGCATTTAGCTTTTTGGTGATTTTACCACTCTACTGTCATGAAATATATCATAAATAACTGAGTATAGAAAATTGATTTTTTCCCAAGTTTTCCCTTGCTTGCAACAATATCTGACGTGGGAATGGAAATGTCACAATGATTTATGTAATATATTAACTAATTAGTCTTGGTTTGATGTGGATTTGTTTTCGGAAATGAAGGGCATTTGTTTGACTTTTTTTGCACTGTGGAGGTCAAACACAATTTGGCCTCAAGTTTAATGTGAAGCAAGAGCAATAAAAGTTAAATCATTCCAATGTTAGACAGGAGGAGTTGTTCTCAGCTGCTAACATATTTCAAATTAAATTAAGTTAGCCTAGGTTAAATACACTAAGTCGAAACCTCACTAATCTTTTCCTCCACTTGGGGCAATAGCACGGTTTGTACTGAATTCAGATTCTTATTAAGTGTGGGATGTTGTTGCTTTAGAAATTGGTGTCTACCCGATAAGAGACATCTTTTAGCCGATATGGTAGATGACAGTAAGCACAGTAAGTTTTTTGTAATATTGTTGGTTACTGTTACATTTAACTGACTATGTTTTTGGGGTTCTTTTTCAGGAAGGGGATATCTGGCCCAATTCCACAGCAGAAGTAAATGTAATCTGCAGACCTAAAGAAGCAAAGGTCTACTACCAAACAGTCTACTGTGACATCACAGGTACGTAAACGTCAGTTATTCGTCACCTGCGATCTCAACCTTTAATGTTACATATTTCAACCCACTCCCTGCTACTTGTCCATTCTTTTGCTTCTTTTGCTACCTGATTGAGTTCTATCTGACTAATCCACTGGCTTAGCTAAAAAATGCAGAGGAGGAATTAAGTACCATCACCATTACTAGAGAAGTAATATTAGACAAGCTAATGGAGCTAAAGGCATATAAATCCCCTGGGCCTGATGGCTTGCATCTGAGGATCTTAAAATAAATACTTACAGAGATAGTAGATGCATTGGTTGTAATTTTCAAAAAAGCCTTGGATTCTGGAAGTACTGGAGGATTGGAAAACTGCTAATGCAATTCCCCTACACAAAAAAGGGAAGAATGCAACAAAATGGATAACTATAGCTGATTAACCAATAGTCATTTGAAATAGTTTGGGGGCAATTGTTAAGGAAGTAATAGCAGTATATTTAGGAAATCATAATCTAATCAAACAGAGTCAGCATGGCTTCATGTAAAGGAAATTGTGTCTGACAAATTTATCAGAGTTTTTGAGGAGATCTCAACCAGAGTTCATACATGGGAACCAGTAGATATATTTGGACTTCCAGAAGGTGTTCAACAAGTTACCTCATAAAACGTTAATTCATTAGATAAGAGCCCATATGTTGGAGGTAGAATATTGGTGTGGATAAAGAATTGGCTAATGGGCAGGAAACAGCGAGTGGGAATAAGGGGTTCTTTTTCAGTTGTCAACCTGTAACCAGTGGGGTTCCAGAGGGATCAATGCTGAGACAGGATCCATTTACAATTGGATGAAGGAAGTGAGTATACTGTAGCCAAATTTGCAGAAGACACAAAAATAGGTGGAAAGGCAAGTTGCAAAGGAGATAGAAACAATTTACAAAGAGACATTGATAAATTAAGTGGGCAAAAGTTCTCAAATGGAGCATAATATTGTAAAATGTGAAGTTGTTTATGTTGGAAGGGAGAACAAAAGAACAGCATTGATTAAATAGAGAAAAGCTGCAGAAAGCTATTTCACAAGGGGACTTGGGGTACTTGTGCATGAAACACAGAAAGCCAGCACACAGGGACAGCAGGTAATCAGGAAGGCTAATAGAATGTTTGCCTTTATTTCAAGGGGGCTGGAGTATACGAGTAAGGATGTCTTACTGTAAATGTGCAAGGTGCTGGTGAGACTACACCTGGAGTACTGTGAGCAGTTTTGGTCCCCTTATTTAAGTAAAGATATAATTTCATTGGAGGCAGTTCAGTGAAGGTTCACTAGGATGACCCCTGGCTTCGAGGGATTATCTTATGAGCAAAGGCTAAACAATTTGGAACTCTACTCAGTGAGTTTTGAGGAATGAGAAGTGATCTCGTTGAAATATCTTGGATTCTTAAGGGACTCAACAGGGTAAATGATGAGAGGATGTTCCCCTCATGGGAAAGTCTAGGACCAGAGGGCATTGTCTCCAAATAAAGAGGTGCCAAACTGAGACTGAAATAAGGAGGAATTTCTTCTCTCGGGGGGGGGGGGGGAGTGTGTGGTTGGGAGTCTTTGGAACTCATTACCACAGAGAATTGTGGGGGGCAAAGTCTTTGAGGTATAGATTCCTAATCAGTAGGGGAATCAAGGATTAGAGAGAAATGCAAAAAAGTGTGCATGATAAATGTCAGATCAGCCATGAGCCTATTGTATGGCGGAGCAGACTCAAGGGGCCAAATAGCCTCTCCTGTTCTTGTTTCTGATGGTCTTCTGGCATGCCTGTACGTTATTCTTTGCGTTGTTTACCATATTATATGAACACGCAAAATTGGGGCAGAAGTAGTCTATTCGTCCCAACAAGTCTGCTCCTCCATTCAATGAGATCATGACTAATCTGAAAACCCTCAACTCCACTTTCCTGCCTTTTCTGCAAAACCCTTGATTTCCTTCTTCCTTAAAAATCTGTCTATCTCAGCTTTGAGTACACGTAACTTAGCAGCCTCAACAGTGCCCTGAACTAAAGACTTTCCCAGATTTACTATGCTCTGAGAGAAGAAAAGATCATGGTTCATCTGCTTTTGTTTTGAATTCCATAATCCCATCTACCTTTAATAAACATTCATTCCCCTGCCTAATAAGAATCTATCCACCTCTATCTTAAAAATACTCAGTGACCCCGCTTTAAATACATTCTGAAGCTGAGTTCCAAAGTTGCTGAAACGTCTGAGAGAAAACAGTTCAACTCTTCTCAGTCCCAACAGGGTGACCACTAATTTTGAGTGCCTCCTAGTTCTGGACTCACCCACAAATGTCCACCTTATCAAGACCATTCAGGAGCTAATACATTTCGATCAATCCACTCCACACTCTTCTAAACTCCAATGGAACTATCCATTCTGGTTTCTGTCCCAGTTCTACTAAAGTTGTATTTCACAATTACCTCACCCTCTGCAAACATTAATCTTTAGTCTCCTCCAAATTCTCCTTTGCTGCTGTTCCTCCAGTTACTGCATATTGTGTGTTCGCTCTGCATTGCCTGAACATTTATAGTAGAGGTGTGACTGTCATTGTTAGATTCCACCTTGCTTCGTCCCCTTTCTGTTTTTTTCTTTCCTCTAAGCATCTCACTTCCTACTATTCCTCCAGTTTTCACTTTAATATTCTTTTTCTTTTGCAAATATCCTGGCAATTGCTGTCTCATCTCTCAGCCTCATTCCTCATAATTTCAGTCTCTGTCTACATTTCTTTCAGCCAGTTAACCTTATCCTGCATATAAACTACCCATCCACACATTCATCTCCAACCTCAACCATATCACTACAAAAGGTTGTTACACTCTGAGATATTTATCTTTGAGTTCATCTTACCTATGGCACTCTCACTCCCAACTGAACCACAGGAGTCAAATCCTCATGTTAACATCTACTTCTTTTTTGCAAAATCCTCTCTAATATCAGTAGTTCCTTTTGTTTCAGTATTCATTCCCTTACTTTTCAAGATTGTTGTCCTTACCGCTTTCAAAAATCCAATTGTCCACCCGAACTACCATACTGCTTTATCTCCCCAGTTCCGCTTTCTCTTATGAGAACTGGTTTCATCACTTACCTTCAAACCTCTTCACTCTTGTTTCTGCACTGTTCACAGTATCAGGACTACTGCGGTCAAAATAATTAGCGACTGTGACTATTTCAGGATTCTTCTTGGTCTCACTATCATTGTTCATACAGTACCATTCCATTGTTCTCCACAGTTCTCTACTCCTTTAATGTTGTTCTAATCCCACTTCTACATTTTCCGGCACCATCAGCACATTTTTTGTAATGGTCTTACCTATCATTTCTACCCAATCACATTGAGTGTACCCCAAAGCTCCATCCTTGACTCCCTTCTGTTCCTTGTCTACATCCTGCTTCATGGCAACATCATCTGTAGGCATCTGCTAAGTTTTCACACTAATTTTGTGCTTAGCTGATTGTTTAATTGACATCAGTTGGCGAACATAGGCAATACTGAAGGCATCCTCTTGTTTTGCCTATAAATCTGATTCCTTCCTTCTTCCTCAATTCCTTCTCCCTCGAGATAAGACTGATGCCAGTCACGAGTAATGCAATTTTGGTTTGTTTTTGAACTGAGTTTCACACCAAAGTTCTAGATGTCACTAAGATCATCTTTGCAACGTCATTTTCTGGCATCTCTACCTGACCTCGTTGTGGCTTTGTCATATTTTTCAATTACTTTAATGCCAGCGTCAGCTCTGCGGTTCAGAGCCTGTCTACACTTGTCCATAATTCTGATGCAAGGATCTCGTCTCATTTGAAGTCCAATTTCCCTGGCATCCCTGTGCTCACTAACATTAATTGGCTCCCTGTGCAGTAACCTACAAATCTCTTCATAGCCTGGTTATTCCATCATTCAGCTGTATATTCCTACACACGTTCTGTGCTCTTCTTCCTTTACATTCTTTCTTCTATCCAGGAACGGATCTTCCATCAGAACGGTCTATGCACTCTAATATGAAGAATATTACTTTCACAAAGAAATGGCATCGGCCTGAATTGGTAACTCTGTCTCTACACACTTGCTGCCTCACTCACTGTTGTCTGCATTTTCTTTTACATTTTATCTCCAATAAACATCCTACCGAGTTACATGTCTCCCTACATCCACAGCATTTTAAGACGCATCTATTTGAACTTGCCATAGGCTATCTTCCCTCGTTCTTCTCGAACGATTGTTAAATGTCGGGTTGCTTCACTTCTCTAATTTGCACTTCTAGACTGCATTTTTATATTGGTACAAATTGCTGATGATAAATCATGTGGGTCAAGTAAAATAAATCAAGTAAAGTAAAATAACAGGAATAAATGTTCATCCCATTGTTGAACAAGTAAGTGCATCACCCAGTGCAGTTCAGAGCAAGTAAACTAGGATGACATCTGGTTGAATTTCTGGTCATGATGAATTAGTTGGTCTCAGCAGGTATTGGGCTATTTTCCACACTCACTTCAGGATAGTGAAGAAAATTACAAGTGAGGAACAGGGATGCTTGTACATCCTCATTCATTCAGTTTCCACACAAACATAACACTGCATCATCCAAGTAGTTGAAAATATAAAAATGAACTCTGCTTTTAAGGTTGGACCTCTTTCCCTCTTCCTCCCTATTATATGTAGGCCTATTCTGGACCACACTCTAGTCTTTGACCGGAGGAGGTGGCTCAGGTGAGAAGGAATAATAGTCAAGAGTTCTGCTTTGTATGCAGTCAGTGATCTGCATGTAAGTTGTATATAGAATTGAGCTTTTTTTTTTAAACAGCTTCCTACGGTTTGTTTTTGCTCAGGTTTCTGTTGAAACATATTTGTATATCACTGGATGTAATCTATTCCAATTAGGCAGCAATAAAATTGCAGTTTTGTTTTTGAAAATAATTTTGCATCTGAAAGTATTCCATGTTACAATTGAGAGTTGTAAACCTGTGCAGTTGTTTTCTTTAATAAGCTGAAA